AAAGATCTGTACACTGAAAATTAAAAGACAATGATGAAAGAAATTGAAGAAGACACAAATAAATGGAAATAAATCCTGTGTTCAGGGTTCAGAAAAATTAATAATGTTAAAATTCCCATACTACACAAAGCCATTTATAGATTTAATGTAGTCTTTACCAAATTCCAAGAACATTTTTCACAGAAATAGAACAAACAATCCTAAAATTTGTATAGAACAACAGAAAACTCCAAAGACTCCACAGCAATCCTGGGAAAGAAGAACAAAGCTAGAGGCATCACACTTTCTGATTTCAAACTATACTACTATATAGTAATCAAACTATATAGTAATCAAAACAGTATGGTACTGGCATAAAAACAGACACACAGACCAATGGAATACAATTCAGTGCCCAGAAATAAACCCATGCATATACGGTTAACTAATATTTGACAAGGTTGCCAAGCATACTGAGCGGAGAAAAGACAGTGTCTTCAATAAACAGTGCATGGAAAATTGGATACTCACATGTAAAAGAATGAAATTAGACCCTTATCTAACCCCACATTCAAAACTTAATTCAAAATAGATTAAAGACTTAAATCTAAGACCTGAAACTATAAAACTCCTAGAAGAAAGCATAGGGAAAAGCTTATTGACATGGGTCCTGGCAATGATTTTTTGCATATGACACCTAGAGCACAAGCAACAAAATAAAAAATAAACAAGTGGGACTACATCAAATTAAAATGCTTCTGCACAAAAAAAGAAACAATCAACAAAATGAAAAGGCAGCCCACAGAATAGAAGAAAATATTTGCAAACCACACATATGATAAAGAGTTAATATCCAAAACATATAAGGAATTCATACAATTTAATAGCAAAAAAGAAAATAATCTAATTAAAAATGGAGAAAGGACCTGAATAGACATTTTTCCAAAGAAGCGACTCAAATGGCCAACAGGTGCATGAAAATGTGCTCAACATCATTAATCATCAGTTAAATGAAAAACAAAACCACAATGAGATATCATCTCACACCTATTAGAGTGGTTATCATCCAAAAGACAAGAGACAAATGCTACTGAGGATGTGGAGAAAAGAGAACTGTTGTGCACTGTTGGTGGAAATGTACATTGGTGCAGCCACTGTGGAAAACAGTATGGAAGTTCCTTACAAAATTAAAAATAGAACTACTATATGACTCAACAATTCCACTTCTGGATATATATCTGAAGGAAATGAAAACACTATGTCAAAGAGCTATCTGCACCCCCATGTCTATTGCAACATTATTTACAATAGCCAAGACATGGAAAGAACCTGAGTGTCCATAAATGGATTAATGGATAAAGAAAATGTAGTGTGTATATATACACAATGGAATACTATTCTGCCATAAAAAAGAAGGAAATTCTTCCATTTGAAACAACATAGATAGATATTTATGGAATTATGCTAAGTGGAATAAGTCAGAGAAAGACAAACACTGTATGATCTCACATATATGTGGAATCTAAGAAAACCAAACTCATGAAAAAAGAGATCAGATTTGTGGTTGCTAGATGTGGGGGGTTGGGAGTGGGGGAATTAGGTGAAGACAGTCAAAAGGTACAAACTTCCAGTTATAAGATAAAAATGTACTGGGGATGTGATGTGTATAACATGATGACTATAGTAAACAACATATTGCATATTTGAAAGTTGCTGAGAGAAGATCTTGAAAGTTCTCATCATGAGGAAAAAATTTTTTGCATCTATATGAAGTTATGGTTATTGACTAAACTTACTGTGGTAATCATTTTACAATGTATACATATATCAAATCTTATGCCATACACCTTAAACTTATACAATGATATATGTCAATTATATCTCAATAAAACTAGAAAAAATAAAAACTAAAAAAGAGAAGAGAAATTGGACTCCTGTATTACACCACTCACAAAAATTAACTGGATTGAAAACTTAAATGTAAGACACAAAACCATAAATCTTGTAGGAAAAAAACTCCTTGACATTGGTCTTGGCAATGATTTCTTTGGATATGATACCAAAAGTACAAGCAACAAAAGCAAAAATAAGCAAGTGGGACTATATCAAATTAAAAAGCTTCCTTACAGCAAAACAAAGAATAAATGAAAAGGCAACCTATGGAATGGGAGAAAATATTACAAACCATCTATCTGACAAAATGTTAATATCCAAAATATATAAGGAACTCAAACACTCAAGAACAAAAAACCAAACTATTGAATTAAAAAAATGAGCAGAGGAATTGAATACATACAAATGGCCAAATAAGACATACAAATGGCCAATGGGTACATGAAAAGATGCTCAACATGGCTAATCATCAGAGAAATGCAAATCAAAAACACGAGATATCACCTCACACCTGTTAGAATCACTGTTATCAAAAAGACAAGAGATAGGAAGTATTGGTGAGGATGTAGATAAAAGAGAATCCTTGTGCACTCTTGGCAGGAATGTAAATTAGTACAGTCACTATGGAAAACAGTATGGAGTTTCCTCAAAAAATTAAAAATACAACTACCATATGATCCGATGATCCCACTTCTGGATATATATTCAAAGGAAATAAAAACAGGCTATTGAAGAGATATCTGCACTACCATATTCATTGCAGCATTATTCACAATAGCTAAAATATGGAAACAATCTAAGTGTATGTCAACGGATAAATGGAGTATTATTCAGCCATGAGTAAGAATAAAATTCTGCCAACAACTAGTAGGTTGTTCTCTAGTATCTTCATACACTTTTCTCCAAGGTATATGCCTACTAAGATTCAGTTCCTATTGTTAGCAAACTTGTTTATAAAGGATATACTTGTTATTTTGATTAAATTATCAAATTAAAGATTACCCAATGAAATCTGTGTGCAAAAAATAGTTGTTTCTATGAAACTGTGACTTGAAGGAAGGGTATAAGATTCTGACCCTCTCAACAAGAAGGAATCTTCTAGCATGAGACCAGCGTGACAATGTTGAACTGTAGTAATGTCCTAGAATATACTTTACAACTCACCACTATAATGGGGCTTAAGCATCAACTAGAAAAATCAGATTTCAATGTCTCCCTAAACTCTGAGTCTGGTTCAATCTCCAGCCCTGTCACTTGTCTTTGCAGGGTCAACAGCAAAGAGCTACAAATAGAGACCAAGGGCTCTCTGGACACCAAGCACAAGTCCTCCTCACTTCCCCAAATGTGTCAGTCCCTCTTGACTCCTTTGGTGAATGACAATGCACATCCAGAGGAAGATGACAAAACCAGCACAGAACCTCTGACTACTCAGCATCTTGTTCTAGGCAGATTCAGACTATGATCTAGGGGAGCAGAATTCTGAGTGTCAGTATTTGTCCACACATTCATAAGTGCCCATGTCTGATGACCTGCATTACAGCCTAAGGTATAGGAGGGAAAGTCCCCAAAGAAGCCTAGTTCTCATCCTTATCTCATCCAGGAGATGAAAGGACCTGCCATTGCCTCCTCAGGCACAAGGGGTTGGTGAATGAGCAGGGAAGCTAGAGGATGCCTGTTCCTCAGGGCCATGGCCCTCCATAACCTCAGAGACAGCTCCCAGCCACCTGTCTTAATGACAAAACCCAAAGACTGAGATGGAGACAAGTTTTCAGTGCTGGAGCCACAGTGTGTAGTGATCTTCCTAATAACTGGGAAGAGAATGTCATTAGGATCAACAAGTCACTATATCCACAGGCAAGGGGAGCTCTATCCTCTGAGAATTCCAGCTCAGCAGTGCCATCAGGTGACTGTGCAGGAGAGAAGGAGAAGGATGGGTGTGACTCAGCACCCCCAACAAAGGACCCTAGAAGCAGAGAGAGCTCTGCCATTTATCTCCTAGGGTCTATGATATAAAGAAACAAACTTCTCTTTTTGTTACTCTACTGTGATGGGGCTCTGGAGGCTAGGGTGCTCCATAGGGCAGGTGTGGACATCTTCCCACTGGGGAGTCATTTACAGCATCACCAAGATCTGGAAGGTCCAATCCCTGTTCCTAATCAGGGGAGTGGACAAAAGGTTGCCTATTTGAATCCCATGTTCATGATGTTTTTGAGAGATGTGCATGTTACTCAGGTTTGGCCAATCAGAATCTTCCCTAAAATTGTTCAAACTTTGGTAGACACTCTAGGAACACACAACAGAGACACACACACACACACATAACAGAAACAAAGATGAGATAAGATGTGAGGTGATGAAAAAGAGAGATGCAGAAAATAGAAAAAGATGAGAAAAGAAATGCAGAGAGATAAAGAGATGTAGATAAATACTGACAAGGGTGCAGATACAGAAAAATGAGAGAGAAAGAGACAGAGGCAGAGATGCAATGAAAAAGCAAGAGACACAAGGGAGACAGAGATGAAGATACAGACGTAAAAACAGAGAGACACACAAAAGAACTATACAAGGACAAACAGAAACACAGAGAAAGAGAAAAAGGTGCACAGATAGAAATACAACAGAAAGACAAGAGAGAGAAAAGGCCTCATTATCTGGAAATAATCACTTCTGAAATCAACTTGTCCCCAGGTTTCCTTGTAATATGAACAAAGTAAACCTGAATTGGGTTTCTATTGCTGGGAACCAAAAGTAGTAATGTTATTGCTGGTTATACTTTTTCAGAAATAAAAATTGACTTCAATCAATGTGACTTGCCAAGATATATTTGAAATAACAGTTTGGTTCTCTGCAACACCAGGGGCCACTATATCTGTGCCGAGATAGTTCCACTATGCTGACATACACAATACTCACCAAACTGGAAGAGAGGCCGGCATATCTTAAGGCCATTGTACTGAACATCAATACTAAAAAGCCATGAAATATGTGACATTGAATTGATTTTCTATCTCTTCTGCTCACCCTTACACAGCACCCCAAGATGCCTCTAGTCTCCCTTCAAGGAACAAAATATTTTCCTTTGATTCTGCAGTGGTTTTCTGCCTCCATCCAGTTAAGAAAGCTCAGGGTACACATAACTCATAATCATGTTTATTTATGATAAAGGCTCTATAGTCAGGTAAATGGCTTCAATGTGCTTCTCTTGTACAGTCTGTGGGGGGAGAATGGACACAGAAAAACCCCTTGAGACCCAAGTAGATGCTGCTGGCAGCAACTGCACAGGCAGAGCTCTGGGGTCAGTGCAGGAAGCAGTATCACAATCAGATCCTCAAGGTAAGGGTCACAGGAGGTGGCCTGGAGACTGCAACAGAGTCACTGTAGGACTCTGATCTGAGAGGGGGATAAGCTGACACAGGCAGCTGGGAATTCTGAGCAAGGACAAGCAGGCATTACAGAAGAACGAAAACAAATCCCAGTCAAAGTATCCTCAGGTGTCAGCGCAAGAGCCCTGTAAAAGAGAGAGAATGATCAACACAGGGCATCCTGAGGGATGTGCCCTCTCCACTCCTCTGGGGCCCATGTAGCATCAGAGAGAGAAAGCTGAGGTCCAGGGCATATGGTTATCATCTCCCCCAATATCTGTGTAAAAGTGAAATGAGCTAAAGAGGACATGGCACTTTAGCTCCAAAAAGATGTGTGGGAGGCAGGGGAGTAGCTGTTATCCTTTTTGGGGGGATATAAAGATTTCACTCTTTTTAGTAAATTAGATGATAATTCACCTGCTGTCCACCACTAGTAGCTTCTTTCAGTCACTTATAAATGCACACAATGAGTACCCACCAACACACAGCAGAAAGTGGACATCATCCTGGTGTCTAACACCTAAGACGTGGCTCTGGCTCCAAGTTTCACAGAAAGACGCCACCAAAGTTATGGGCTAGTTCTAGGGAACAACCTTGGGAGCTTCCTACAGAAACTGGACAAGCTTCAAACTTCTCCCCTAACCTTGATCCCCATAGCAGGCAACAAGCCATGAACTGAGACCATTGTGCCCACGCACACTCACCTCAGCCCATCCCTCTTTTACCTGTCCCCACAGCCCCCACCGAATCCAACCAAATATAGTACCTGCTGGTGGAGGCCCACGAGGTCCTACAAAAGGAAGTTGTACAGAGAAAGGTCTCATTACACAAACAGCCAGTCCCTCACTCACCCCAAAGTGAAATGCGACAAGCAACTTCTTTGGAAATTTATATCCTCCCTACCCATCTGGCACAAGGCCTTAACCATCCTAAGCTAAAATCTCCAAAATGAATGAAACTGCCACTGGAAGGAAGGGAAGCTCAAGCTCTGACCCTCTTAAAGGAGAAAGCATTCAGAAAAGAGCCAGTTAGAGATGATGAACTGGAAGGAAGTCTTAGAACACACTCCACCAGTCACCTCTGTGGTAGGGCAACCTTTCAACCAGTAAAATCAGGTTCCAATGTCTCGCCCTAGGTTGTTCCATCTCCTCCCACCACCAGCCCAGCCTCTTTCCTTCAGGATCAGGAGGAAGAGGCCTCTCTGAACAGAGGGTCTCAGTCACAGCTCATCTTCCCCCTTTCCCCACAGTGCCTTACCTTTCTGGCTCCTGTGATGGATGATAAGGCCCAGCCCAAGGAAGATCAGCCCCAGCATGAAGCCCCCGACGCCACTCAGCATCTTGCTCTGGGCAGATTCAGACTGCGCCTCTGGGGAGCAGAGCCTGAGTATCAGTATTTGTCACCACACCCCACAGGGTCCCTTTAGGAAGTCGGAAGTCCAGTCAGAGGTACAGGAGGAGGAGGTGCCAGGAGAACCTAGTTATCCATTCTGACCACCCCTAGGGGAGGAAAGGACCTGCCAATCCTTGGACTCAGTGGGTCCAAGGGGATCAGAGAGGGAAGCAGATCCCTGCTTCTCAGGACACATTCATAACCTTAGCCCCTAAGATCCTAGTCACCAGCCATAATAGTCAATCCTTCAGGGCTATCAGGGGTGGGTTCTGGGGCCGTGGTGTGTAGGTGACCTCTCTATTATCTAGAAAGACAGTGAGACCAGAGGCGCTCTAGTCTCCTGTGATTTCCAGCTCACTAGTGACATCAGGGGTAAAGGATGGGATGGGCCAGAGGAAGCTCTGCCCTCTGCCTTGTGGGGCCCACAGTGAAAGGAAACAAACTGCCCCTTACGCCACTCCACTGTGATGGGGCTCTGGAGGCTGGGGTGCTCCACGTGGCAGGTGTAGACATCTCCTCGCTGGGGAGTCATTTCCAACATCACAAGGATCTGGAAGGTCCAGTCACCGTTCCTAATAAGAGGAGTGGATACAACACCGGCTGTCTCCTCCTGGCCATTCCGGAACCATCGAACTTTGATCTGGCCTGGATAGAAATCTGTCACCGAGCAGACCAGCAGGTTGTGGTGGTTTAGAGCCTCTGTCCTGGATGGGGAGATGGTCACTCTGGGTTCCACTGAGGGGAGGAAAAGACAGTGAGATGTGAGACCACACAGCAAGTCTCCCCATGGGGAGAGTCCTTCTTGGTACCACAATAAGGATCCCTGGACTCCAAGTCTTGGATTAGGATTCGAGCTTGGCCACTTTATTAGCTTCAATAAACACACTAGTCAGTTTACTTTTCAGAGTCTCGAGAGATAACAGTAATCATCCTTTGGGAGTTATTCCATTGATACTAATTGATAAAGATGAACCACTTTAAAATTATAAATTGTCATCTTATAAAGGCCACTATTCACAAAATTAGAAAAAAATAAAAATAATAAACCTAGACTTCTTTTCTTCCACACCTATTGAAGGTGACCATCAGCATCAGCTTTAGTGACTCATGCTAGGACAGTGACACTGTTTTCTGTTAGTCCCAGTGCTCCTCAGAGTAGAGAAAATACAACTGTGTTGACTCTCTCCTGTGGGCTGGGAGACCATCAACACAGTCACGGCCCCACAAAAGGTAACATGGACTGAGAATTAAGAATGTATAGATATTTCTACATCCAACGAAGTAGGACAATGGTGACCATGACATCTTCCCCACAAAGCAGTGCTTCTCAAACAGGCTACATTCTACAATTCTCAGCCTGTAATACTAACAAAATTTGAGAGCAAGAGCACTTCTTACAAGTTGCTGGTCAACAAAGCATCTCTGTCAGCTTTTAGCCTAACATTTGCTCAAATGGCATTCTATGGAGAATTCCCCCCAAAAAATGTATATTATCAAATATATGAACATCCCTTTCCACATCATATATGCCACCTATATTTTATTCATTCACTGATTAATTTATTTATTCATTCAATACATACAAATTTGACAAGCACTGGGAATCCAAAGATAAACAACAGACCATGGTCCCTGCCCTTACAGAACTTGCAAACTAGTAAAAATCTAGAGGAAAAAGAAAGGAATATTATTTTCAAAAGTTCTTAATTTTTGAAGGAAAAGAAAGGGAACCTTGAAAACAAATAGCACTGATAAACATCACCTATGCCCATAACATGAATTCCTTTATCTTCTCAGATTGCTACTCATGGTCAAATGAAACACACCTCTCCCTACCTTACATATCTTATACCTTACCTCTCCAGCTATGTTATTGCATCTCCCTTATTCCCTTAGCATGAAACTATAGCAAATATTTTATGTGTTTTATTTATTTGCTAACACATTTTCTCTCATTTTCTTCTTTTTTCCTAATTTTCTTTTAACAATTGAATTTCCTTACTAGCTGCCTACCATACTCGATTCCCTTGCTATTAAGAATTACTTGGATGATGTCAGCAACTTGGCAGAGTGAGCTGTTCACTTTGTCTCGCCCCCTTTTGCAATACAACTAGATGGACATTCACTGACCAATGGAGGAAGCCCACACAGCCCAACAGGATGCCTGAGAGACACACACAGTTATACATCTGAGGGTGGATGGAGTGGCCCCTGAGGCAGTGGCAGAGATAGGTGAGCACACCCAGCTCTCCCTCAGTAGCCCTATGCATGCACATGAACTCTTTCTGGCCTGGTGCAAGAGCCTGGTAATTGGGAACACACACTGGGGTGACCATAGGAGGAGGTGGAGGTAACCATTGCCTGCACTCTCCTGGTGAGGATGAGGGGCCCACCGTGCCCCAGTGCTGCCAAGGAGTGGCCCTAGCTCGGTGCAGCAAGGAAGCCTCGCCCACCAAGCACAGTGGCCCCAAAGACTGTAAATAGAGACCACACCCTAGGGCAAGCACACCCCAGGCCCAAGTGAGTGCTCATAGTGCAGCTGAACCCTGAAAGAGGGAATGTGTCCCAGGCAACTGTGGGAAGAAGCGATGGCAGCTTCGAGACCACTCAGGTTCACTTTATTTTTTTTTTGAGGAAGATTAGCCCTGAGCTAACATCTGCTGCCAATCCTCCTCTTTTTTGCTGAGGAAAACTGGCCCTGAGCTAACATCCCTGCCCATCTTCCTCTACTTTATGTGTAGGACGCCTGCCACAGCATGGCTTGACAAGTGGTGCATAGGTCTGCACCTGGTATCTGAACCGGCAAACCCCGGGCTGCCAAGGTGGAATGTGCTAACCTAACCACTGTGTCACTGGGCCAGCCCCTTGGGTTCATTTTCTTGGTGGGGAGGGGAAGCCCACCATACCCCTGTGCCACCAAGGAGCAGCCTTAGCTCTAGTCCCAGCAAGGAAGCCATGCCCAAAAGCACAGCAGCCCACGGACCTCAAGTAGAGACTGCAGCAGATCTACATGCTGGGGCAAACACAGCCCAGGCCCAGGTGTGCAAGTGCTCATAGTCCCGCTGAGTCCCCAAAGGAGGAATGTGTCCTGGGTGGCTGCGGGAAGAGGCAGCGGCAGCTTTTAGCTGGCTGGTGATTGCTTTCCTGGTGGGGACGGGGAGCTCATAGTGCCCCTGAGGTGCCAAATAGTGGCCCTAGCTCAATCCAGAAAGGATGCCCTGTCGGCCAAGGATGGTCCGCACAAGTGCCTGAACACACTCCAGGCTGGGGCAAGCATTCATAATACCCCCACAGCTTCCAGCAAATGGGGTGGGGCCAGAAACTCTGCTCCCACTTTCCCCTTGCAATAACAGGTGGAATCTACATCCTAAGAATATCACAAATGCCCCAACAAAAGATTAGCTCATCAAACAGCATAAGAAATTGCAGCAACAATTCAGACCAGAAGGAAAATGACAATTCTCCACAAACCAATCCTGAAGACACAGAAATTTACAATCTAAATGTCAGAGAATTTAAAAGAGTCATCATAAGGAAACTCAACAGCTTACAAGAAAGCAGGGAAAGACAATTCAAGGAGCTCAGCAATAGAATGAATCTCTTCACCAAAGAGATAGAAACTATAAAAAAAATCAAGCAGAAATTGTGGATATGACAAATGCATTTAATGAAATAAACACAATTAATGAAAAAAATAATCTAGAATCATTAAGTAATTGAACTGATCTTATGGAGGAAAGAATTAGTCTTCTAGAGGAAAAAGAATGTAGAAATTCTACAAGTGGAGGAGGAGACAGAACTAAGATTTTTAAAAAATGAAGGAATTCTTTAAGAAATATCTGACTTGATTAGAAAAAACAACATAAGGATTATAGGTATTCTAGAGGGGTAGGGAGGGAGAAAGGAGCACAGAGCTTGTTCAAAGAAATAATTGCTGAGAATTTCCCAAACCTGGGGATGGTTCCAGATTTACAAATAAATGAAGCTAATAGAATGCCCAACTTCGTCAATGCTAAAAGACCTTCTCCAACGCATATAATAGTAAAAATGGCAAAAGTTAATGATAAAGAAAAAAATATTAGGAGTAGCAAGGTAGAAGAAAATAACCTAAAAAGGAAACCCTATCAGGCCTTCAGCAGATTTCTTGGCAGAAACCCTATAGGATAGGAGAGAATGGAATGATATATTCAAAATACTGAAAGACAAAAACTTTCAGCCGAGAATACTCTATCCAGTGAAACTTTCCTTCAGATGTGATGGAGAAATAAAAGTTTTCCCAGATAAACAAAAGCTGAGGGAGTTCATCACCACTAGACCTCCCCTACAAGAAATAATTAAAGATGTCCTCACACAGGCAACAAAAAGGCAATGGTCTACAAAGCTCTGAGCAAAGAGACAAACAGACAGACATTATCAGAAACCTGCATCTCTCTACCAGAATAGGGAGGAAAAGACTCAATTACAACTTAAAAGAGAAAGGGAAAGAAAGCATCAAAAGTAATGATAAATACTTCAACTTAGCTACAAGCTCGAAAAATTTGTAACAGCAATTACTCAGAAGGGGAGAGGAAAGGGAAGGAATTTGCTTAGGTTAATGGAGATAAGAGGTTATCAGAAAATGGGCTATCCCGTCTCCAATATCGTTCATACAATCCTCACGGTAATCACTAAGCAAAAAATCAGAACAGAGCCACAATTCACAAAAAGAGAGAGAACTGAGAAATCTCCCTCAGAAAACCACCAAAGTGAATGGCAGTCAGAAATACAAAGGAAAAGAAACAGTGGAAACAGAACAACCAGAAAACAAGAGATAAAATGGCAGTATTAAGCTCTCATATATCAATAATCACTCTAAATGTAAATAGATTGAATTCTCCAATCAAAAGACACAGAGTAGCTGGATGGATTAAACAACAAGACCCAACAATATGCTGCCTCCCAGAAATGCACCTTAGCTCCAAAGACAAACATAGGCTTAGAGTGAAGGGATGGAAGACTATACTCCAAGCTAATGGCCAACAAAAGAAAGCAGGTGTTGCCATATTTTATCAGACAAAGCAGACTCCAAGTTAAAAAAGACAATGAGAGACAAAGAGGGGCAGTATATAATGATAAAAGGGACATTCCACCAAGAGGACATACAGTTATTAACATATATGCACCTAACACAGGGGCACCAAAGTGCATAAAGCAATGTTAACAGACCTAAAGAGAGAAATTAACGGTAACACAATAATAGTAGGGGACCTCAACACCCACTTAGATCAATGGACAGATCATCCAGACAAAAATTCAAGAAGGAAATAGCAGATTTAAATGAAACATTTGGTTAGTAGATATATAGAGAACATTCCATCTGAAAACAGCAGAATATACATTCTTCTCAAGTGCACGTGGATCATTCTCAAAGACAGACCATAGGGTGGGAAACAAGGCAAGTCTCAATAAATTTTAGGAGATTGAAATCATCCCAGCCATCTTTTCTGACCACAATGCTATGAGCTAGAAATCAACCACAAGAAAAAAACTGGGAAAGTCAGAAATATGTGAAGGCTAAACAACATGCTATTGAACAACCACTGGATCACTGAAGAAATCAAAGGGGAAATTAAAAAATACCTGGAGACAAACGAAAATGAAAATACAACCTACCAACTCTTATGGGACGCAACAAAAGCAGTCCTAAGAGGGAAATTCATGGCAATACAGGCTCAGCTCAACAATCAAGAAAAATCTCAAATAAGTAAACTTAAAATGCACCTAATAGAACAATAAAAAGAATAACAAAGAAAGCCCAAAGTCAGAAGAAGGAAGGAAATAATAAAAATCACAGCAGAAATAAATGAAATAGAGACTAAAAAAACAGTAGAAAGGATTAATGAAACTAAGAGCTGGTTCTCTGAGAAGATAAACAAAATTGACAGACCCTTAACCAGACTCACCAAGAAAAAAAGAGAGAAGGCTCAAATAAATAAAATTAGAAATGAAAGAGGAGAAATTACAACAGAGACTGAAGAAATATAAAGGATTATAAGAGAATACTATGAAAAACTATATGCCCACAAATTCGATAACCTAGAAGAAATGGATGAATTCCTAGACTCATACAACCTACCAAAACTGAATCAAGAAGAAATAGAGAATCTGAATAGACCAATCACAAGTACAGAGATTGAAAAAGCAATTGAAAACCTTCCAGAAAACAGAAGTCCAGAACCAGATGGCTTCTCTGGAGAACCAAACATTCAAAGAATTACCTGTCCTTCTCAAACTATTCCAAAAAATGAAAGAAGCTGGGATGCTTGGTAACATATTCTGTGAAGCCAACATTACCCTGATACCAAAGCCAGACAAGGACAGCACAAAGAAGGAAAATCACAGGCCAACATTGCTGATGAACAAAGATGCAAAAATCTTCTACAAAATATTGGCAAACCGAATACAGCAATACATTAAAAGGATTGTACACCATGATCAAGTGGGAATTATTCCAGGGACACAGGGATGGTTCAACATCCACAAATCAATCAAAGTGATAGACCATATTAACAAAATGAGGAATAAGAATCACATGATCATCTCAATAGATGCAGAGAAAGCATTTGACAAGATCCAACATCCATTTGAGAGAAAAACTCTCAATAAAATGGGTATAGAAGGAAAGTACCTTAACATAATAAAGGCCATATATGACAAAACCTCTGCCAACATCATATACTTAAAGGTGAAAAACTGAAAGTCATCCCTCTGAGAACAGGAACAAGACAAGGGTGCCCACTCTCACCACTCTTATTCAACATAGTGCTGGAGGTATTGGCCAGAGCAATTAGGCAAGAAAAAGAAATAAAAGAATTCCAAATTGGAAAGGAAGAAGTGAAACTTACGCTATCTGCAGATGACATGATTCTATATATAGAACACCCTAAAGAATCCACCAGAAAACTGTTAGAAATAATGAACAACTCCAGCAAAGTGGCAGGGTACAAAATCAATTTAAAAAAATCAGTTGCATTCCTATACACTAACAATGAACTAGAAGGAGGAGAAATCAAGAATACAATCTCATTTACAACTGCAACAAAAAGAATAAAATACCTGGGAATAAACTTAACCAAAGAGGTGAAAGACATACACTGAAAACTATAAGACATTATTGAAAGAAATTGAAGAAGACTTAAAGAAATGGAAAGATATTCCATGTTCATAGGTTGGAAGAATAAACATAGTTAAAAATGTCCATACTACCTTAAGCAATCTACAGATTCAATGCAATCTCAATCAAAATCCCAATGACGTTCTTCACAGAAATAGAACAAAGAATCCAAAAATTAACATGGAACAACAAAAGACCCTGAATAACCAACACAATCCTGAGAAAAACAAGCAAAGCTGGAGGCATCACAATCCCTGACTTCAAACATACTATAAAGCTATAGTAATCAAAACAGAATGGTAGTGGCACAATAACAAACAGATCAATGGATCAGAGTTGAAAGCCCAGAAATAAAACCACACATCTATGGACAGTTAATCTTTGACAAAGGAGCCAAGAACATACAATGGAGAGAGGAGAGTCTCTTCAGTAAATGGTGTTAGGAAAACAGGACAGCTACACGCAAAAGAATGAAAGTAGATCATTATCTTTTACCATACACAAAAATTAACTTTAAATGGATTAAAGATTTGCATGTAAGACCTGAAACCATAAAACTCCTAGAAGAAAATATAGGCAGTGCACTCTTTAACATTGGTCTCAGCCACATCTTTTCGAATACCATGTCTACTTGGGCAAGGGAAACAAAAGAAAAAGTTAACAAATGGGACTACATCAGACTAAAAAACTTCTGCACAGCAAAGGAAACCATCAACAAAATGGAAAGACAATCCACCAAGTGGGAGAAAATATTTGAAAATCATTTACCAGACAACAGGTTGATCTCCAAAATATGTAAAGAACACATATGGCTCAACAAAAAAAACCCCAAACAATCCAATCCAAACATGGGCAGAGGATCTGAACAGATATTTTTCCAAAGAAGATATAGAGATGGCCAAGAGGCACATGAAAAGACATTTAACATCACTAATTATTAGGGAAATGTAAATCAAAACCACAATGATTATCACTTCATGTCTTTCAGAATGGCTATAATTAACAAGACAAGAAATCAGCATTGGAGAGGATGTGGAGAAAAGGGAACTCTCATACACTGCTGATGGGATTGTAAACTGGTGCAGTGACTATGGAAAACAGTATGGAGATTCCTCAAAAAATTAAGGATAGAACTAACATTATGACCCAGCTATTCCACTTCCAGGTATTTATCCAAAGAACAAGAAAACACGAATGTGTAAAGATATTTGCACCCCTATGTTCATCGCAGCATTATTCACAATAGCCAAGACTTGGAAACAACCTAAGTGCCCATCAATGGATGAATCAATAAAGAAGATGCATATATAGTCAATGGAATACTACTCAGCTATAAAATAAAAAAGACGAAATCATGTGATTATTGACAACATGGATGGACCTTGAGGGTATTATGCTAAGCGAAATAAGTCAGACCATATGAAAGTAAGAAAAAGTCAAATACCCTATGATTTCACTCATAAGAAGATAAAAACAACAGCAATAAGAACAAACAAACACTTAGATACAAAGATTAGATTGGTGGTTACCAGAAGGGAAGGGGGGAGGAAGGAGGGTGAAAAGGGCGACAGGGCACAAGTGTGCAGTGATGAACAGTAATTAGTCTGGGTGGTGAACATGGTGTAGTCTACACAGAAATCAAAACATAATGAAGTACACCTGAAATCCATATAATGTTATAAACCAAGTTACCTCAATAAATCTTTTTAGAAAAAGGAATTTGTAGGATATAGAAATAAATAAATAAATAAATAAAAGGAGTTGAAATTAAAAACAATAGACAAGAACAGGCTGATATTGCTGCTTCTGGTTACAACTCACTTTATCGAGGCTTTGCTTGCATTAGACTCTATGTACAGGTAGTAAACAACATAATAACTGTTGGGTATTTTGGGGAGGCTTCAGGACCTGGTGAATACTGTGGGCTAATTACTTAAAGAGCTAATTATGTACCAATATAAGCCTATTAAAGTAGTGATGCTAATCCCTAACACACAAGGTAGTTGTGAAATTAAATGGCAAAATATAGATGGTGTTTGGTAAGGTAATTGCCTAGAAATAGGTGCTCATTAAATGGCTGTGATTAACTTTCAAAATGTCCAGCCCTGAAGTGGACGGTGATGCTGGGGGGAGATGACAGGGTGAGGGAGGGTCTAGGCCAAAAGAAACCAGAACCAATTTTATTCAATAATTTAATAGCATCAATTTATTTACTCCAAAACTTCAGCTCTTTCTATTGTGCCATTTGTGAGCTTTTCTAAGAAACTAGAATTCTACCTTACAACACCATTCAAGTGTTGTTTCTATTTTTAACAAACACATTTTTCCTCAGACTTTACATTCATAAATTCTAAATTATTAAGATCAAAGTCGATAAGGGTTTACTTTAAAGCATTAGGCAAAATAGTAAAGAATAATCAATAAGTCAGTTTTTAAAGCTCTACTAACCCTTCTGTTTTCCTTTCAGCCTACGTGGATGGGCAGCTGAGTGAACGTATTCATTAATTTCACAAAGGTTTATTGAGTTCAACTGTGCCAGTGTGGCAGGTACTAGACACACAAAGATAATTAGGACAGTCCCTCACCTCAAAGAGGTCCGGGACTAGTGATAGCCATTTAAGACAACAGAATTAAGATGAATCAAATTTGAAACCAAAAAGTCAAAATATACGTCACAACTCTCATATATTATCACTGTGCCCTGGCACAGCTGCGAAGCAGCCCTGTCTCTGATGCAGGATCAGCGAGCTGATTCGTGGACAGATTTCTTGGACTCTCAAGGCCTGCTAGTAGCGCTCCTTTATTCAGAATAGCATGGGGAAAGGACCCATGGGCAGTAAGGAGCTGCCAGCATGGGGACAGAACCCACAGGCAGCGGAAGGGCTGCAATGTGTTGAGAGTTAGGGCTAAACTTATAAGACATGGGCACGTAACTTATTTTTACCAGGCAAAGGAAAGATGATGTAAAAAGTCATTAAATGGTATCAGTGCAGGTGGGGTCTGGTTATCGTGTGGTCTATAACTTTAGATATGAATCGGGTCACATAGATTGGCATGTAGGCCAGGATGCCTTGGGCTTCTCTACCTTGGGCAGCCTTGATCCACATCATCTCCACCAGGCTGAGCCGCTTAAGCTTCGCAGCCGCTGGAACCCTAAACAAGGGCCTTGTTGGGAGAGCTCTCAGCAGGACCCTGGGCAGGGAGGCGGGAGGGAACTCTGACAGGTCAAAGGTGAGTAAAGAGGAAGCAAACACTTCTCAGGCACAGGGCGGAGATGTGCATTATTAGTGGAAAGAAGAGCGGAGGGAGCGGGCCACTCTGGACAGGCCTGGCCCGCCTCTGTTGGAAAGATCCAGAGCTGCAGACGTGGGTCCTCCATCTGCCCTTGGTCCCCGCCCCTCCGCCGCGGGACGCGCCCACCTCCCTGTCCTCTCCGTGGGCCCGGTTCTCTGGCCCCAGAGGCCGCCCCCCCAAAGCCCCCCGCCGCCCTCCCTGCGCGGAGGTGACCGGACCCAGGGTGGCCCCGCGGAGGGCAGCCAGCCGGTGCTCACCTCGGCGCTCCAAGGCGGGGAACTCCAACTGGTAGTTGGGTCGGCACACCCTGTCCAGCTCGGCCCGCGTCCCCTCCAGGATGTCCTTCTGTCCGTTCCAGTACTCGGCTTCCGGCCGTCCCAGCTCGGTCAGCGCCCGGTACTCCCCCACGTCGCTGTCGAAGCGCACGTACTCCTCCCGGTTGTAGATGTATCTGGTCACGTACCGCACGTGCTCCGTCCCGTTGGTGAAGTAGCACTGGCCCATAAACTGGACCACGAAATCCTCTGCGGGGAATCACAGCCCTGCCGTCAGTTCGGCCTCAGCCCCGCAGCCCAACGTAACATCCGCTGTGCCAGCGGGCGTTCTGGGTCTCAAGCAGTTGAGCGGGAGAAACCTAACACGGGGTCTCGACCTCAGGTTCCCGCCCAACCTGGCCTTGCCCCTCCGTCTCTGAACCAGGGATCCTCAGGCAGCTTTTCACTAGGCTTACCTAGCTCTGAGGGCTTCCAGAATTGTCTTCATATAAGGAAAGGAAAGCCCTGTCTCTAAGGGCAAGCCCTGGGAACTGAGAACTGAGTAAAGAGGACAGATGGGATGATTTTACAGGGATCCCTGTTCTTAGAGGAATCAGGAGGTTCTCTCTCACATGAAGTCTCATTTTCCATAGAGCTCCTGGGAACCTCAGAGGCAAACAAGTATCCACAGAAGTACGAGAGTTCAAGGGAATGAAGAGAAAGGTCTACAATTATCTTTGTCCTCATCCTGAAAGGCATACTCTCTCGTTCTCTGGCGAAGTGTCTTCCTTCCCATATCTGGGTTTACTCTGAGTTTCTGCCACCCCCACCCCACCGCAGTGTGAGGTTTGCTCACTCCTGTGTGTTTAGAAGACACCAACACCTCCCCAGTCCTAAAAAGAAAAGTTTTATTCATAGAAAGAACACCGACTTTCCAATTAGATAAACAGAATTCTAATTAAACTGTGCCAATTACCAGCTTGGGCAGGTTACTTAGAGTATATCATAATTGTATAAAAGGAAGTCATAATACCTACTCATGTTGTGTTAGGAAGATTGAGAGAGAATTTATATAAAGATACTAATATGTGTCTGAAATTACTGATTTCTCAATATCTACTATTTTCTTCTTTTACGTTCTCATTTCTCCTAAATTTAGTCCACTGTCAACTCAAGCCATAATCCCACTCGAGTTACTATTTGATCAGAAATCAGTGAAACTTGAAGTTAAGACTCTCTATCTGTGATCACCAGTCAGCTTCACTCAAATGCCAAGAGTTTGCCTCTACCAGCCCTCCACCCAGAGTCAGGAGTGTAGAATCTTCTTCCTTGAATACTGAGACTACAAAGACCATTGCTGCTCTACATTTCCCTAACCCAGAATTGCATAGTATTTTGTCCAGATCGTGAAATGGCAAATCCCACTGTGTATTCTCTGGATAATTCATATCTTCAAAAATAACCCCATTCTCGCTTGGTCCTGTCACAGGCGGTAGACGCAAATTTTGTCTCCTCCTCCCCATTATAACATCCCCAGGCTTGAGCCCATGGGGTGGGAACTGTCCTCACCTGGTCACTACAAGGTAGAAATGAGAATGCAGCATAGTTCTGTTTCCCAAAGATAGGGAAACTGTGATAAATGGCTATGTTCTGAAATCATGGACTCCCTTACACCCCAGCCCTAGAGTCCCTCGGAGCCTGTTCCCCAGGGTGGTGTCTCTGGGGAGCAGCTGCCCTGTACTTACGTGGAGAGTCTCTGCCCTCAGCCACTGGGGTGCTCAGCACCACAAGCATCACCATCACAGCTGCTGTCCAAAGGCCTCTGGGGATCTGCGGAGCCATCTTCCCAGAGATAATGGAGAACAAAGGAAGATGTAATGGTGGTCAACACAGCTTGCCCCTGGTGGATCTGATGTACCCACTTCAGAGAAAAAAGACCTGCAAAAGCTTCTATGCACTGTAGGATTGGAGAGCCCCTAGGAAAGGAACCAATGATCACTGGAGCTGAATGACCTCATCTGTCTCTGGGCAGACATTTTTTATGAAAGTTCTCAGTCCACTGCCTGGCACTGTGTCTTCATCAAGTTGCACTGGATGAACATTTGAGGGGAAGATTGTCTCTCAGTTATAGATCTGAAGATTGAATGCCTTAGGGGTTTAAAGAACCAAAAGAAAAATGATTCAAGAGGAGAAATCTTTGTGATAGTTATTTAAAACCTATTGTTCTTGTCCTTGGGATTTTTTTGTAGGGGAAAATAAATGGGGATCATATTTCAGGGGAGAGAAAATTATTGTCACTTAGATGCTCACTTCTATTATCTTGGACACTGTGAGGAGCCTTAAGTTGTGGTGGGAGGAGCAGAGTTAGAAGGAAATGGGTTGGAGCTGCAGTTCTACCACTAATGTGCTTTATGAGAGTCAACAAATTACCGAACCTCTTTTTGCCTCAGGCTTCTCTTTGTAAAAGGTGGATCATGTTTCATGCCTTTTATACCTACGTCTTCACATGTACAAACGTAAGAGTAACATGACTTGTTTAATATTGCAGAATGTTCCTCAGCTGCTGTGTGTAACTGTTGGGAGTATCAGTTTAATTTGTGGAGCAAGAAAACAAGCAAAAAACATCTACACCCAGCCTTGCTGGCAAGTGGGTCTTCATTATACAAGAATTTATGCATCCGTGCTCTTTGAATGAAAGTATTTGAAAAGTTGACTTTTCTCTTATAAGCCTCCAGCTGCTTTAATCCTCCCCGAACCATGAAACAGGGTCATCTGATGTCAGCAAAGGCACAATCCACAAACCGGCCTTTAGTTTCAAGGGTAGAGAGCAAAAGATGTGGAGAAGCATGTCCTGGAGACTGAATAGTGTTCATGAGGGAGCAGACATTTAATAGATGTACTGTGCCAGCCCTCAGAATTAAGTCCTGAATGGGAGAAGTATCAATGTGTTTGCTTTTTTTTTTTTAATAAATGTGTTATATATAAGGCTCCTCCTCTCCATGACTAGGAGCAATGCTAAGCAGTTATGGAGCAGTTAGAACAGTGCCTGGCTGACATTAATAAACAAGACCATAAGTAGTATCTCCCCCCTGCCTTCTTCGAGTCTCCCTCCCTCTCTCTCTCCCCTGTGTTTTATGTTCTCCTTTTAAAATAGAGGACAGGATCTAAAAGCAGAATATAAGGAGTTTGCCAAGTGAAAAGAAATAGGGAAGAGGCAACAAGAAGTTTCCATTAGTGGCACATGGAGGCAGTGAGTTACTCAAATATTCAGCATGAGGTTCCTAGTTCCAGAGCACCTGAGACTGGGATGTTTGCCCCTGGGCTTCCACTAGCAGTGATGTGTCAGGATCAGGGTAACTCCAGAATAAGGAGGGTTTCCACAGTGGATGGAAGCGTAAAGGAGGAACATCAAACTCAGACCTGGAATAGAATTGGGACTCAGGAAGAATAGTAACAGAGGGAACTAGAAGGTGCCTCAGTTCCCTCAGCCCCACCTCAGGGTCCCTCAGAATAAACAGAAGCCATGCCCTCCCTCCTCTCCTAAGGGGGAAACTTCCCTCAATTCTGTTCCGGGGCTGTGCAGTGGAGGCTGCGTCAGACCTGGGGATTTCCCAGCCTCACAGCACTCTTCACACAGACTTTTCAACTAACAACAAAAGTGTCACCTTAGAATCGTTTTTCTGATTGGCTAAAACCTCATTTGAAAGGCTCTGGGTTGGACTTCTGCGAGGTGTTTCCTCTGACCCCGTCAGCCTCCCTACATTTTCTAGAGCTCTCTGCACTGCCCACATCCCTGCTGCATTACTCAGGGCAGCCACTGCAGGCCTGGTCTGAGAGGAAGGCAACTCGGACAAACATCCTGATTCCAGGCGCCTCACAGAGTCACCCTGTCCGGCCTCTGTGGAAACAGGGCACCTAGGATGAGGGCAGGGTGCCCATGTGGGTAGACAAAGGGATAAAAAACCGTCATTGATATGGATCAGGGTTACAGGAGGGAGACTCTCCCCAGGGGACATCCTCTGTTCCCTCAGGGTGGAGGATAAAAGTTGTAGACTTCTTCCTTGTGGAAATTCAAGGAAAAATCATCTTCCCTGGTCAACATCTCTTAGGATCTCTGATTGGTCAGATGCATTAACTGTGAACATAATAATCACCTTGTTACCAGAAGGGCCATCCAGGACCCTATTCTGCGTTCATTTCAGGAATCAATAAACATTGTATATTCCAAAGGGTTCTGTGGCCTCCTTAATGCCAGTAGTAATATAATCAGAAATGCTGCCCCCAGAAAATTATTTCCCTGTAATAAAAAGTTATCTAGCAATTATCCCTAAATTTTTCTAAATATTTGTGAAGTTGCTCACGTGTGTGCCTTAGATCAGTTCTCAGCTAACCAGTTATATGAATTTTCCATGATATGTATAAAATGTCTTTTTTTATAACAAAGTTATCTCTTTAAAATCAAATTTTAGATAATCTGAAGAAAGAGTCAAATTAGTAGCAGAATGACCATGAATAAACCACTTCGGCTCTGAAAGACTTAGTTTTGGCTCATTTGTAGAAAGAATGCACACCTCACAGGACCACTATCATGAATGCAGATATCATTTGTAAAAGTTCTGTGCAATCTGTGGTGAGCTACAGTTCTTAATATAATAGTACTAATATAATAATATGATAGTAGAGTTTATTTTCTTTTAATGTCGTTAACAAAAACAGCAAAGTCTTTTTTTATTTCTCATCTCTTTTCAGATGATGGAATCATTATGGTTTCCAATCCCTAACTCTCACCTCATCATTATTTGTCTTTGATCATGTATTCACTGCATTTTCCCTCTCTGAGGTGCCATGACTACCCCTGCACAGAACTGCCATTTTAACTATAATTTCAGATCTCAGAACTTGGTCCTCCTCCCAGTGGGTTCACAATGGGGAAACTTGAGTGCAAAACACAGAGTCTTAAATCAAACTTATAAAAGAAGAAAGTGAATGCAGCTTTGTGAGCTACATGGACTATTATGGCAAAGAGTCCAGGATCATATTTCACCCATCTTGATTCAATTTAGAGGAAGAGGGACTGGCCACTCCTCATTGTAGCTCCTGACAAATGTCTAAAAACCTGTCCTGTGCCACGTGCCCAAGTGCCCAGCATTCCTCACCCTCATCATCAGCAGTCTCCATGTCTGAGCTCCGACACATCAATGTGGTTTTGTTTTCGGTAGTATTAGCTCCCTTCCCCAAAACCCAGCAGATCCCAGACGGTGGGTACTGCCACTTAACAGTACTTTTTAAACACGGCAGAGTTAAGGTCCTGCGTTTCAAAGATGAAACACATTGGGGGAAGACATCCACGGGGGAAAATAAAAGAAACAAAAGTTTGCTACAGCCACTCAGGGGAATGTCAAATACTGCTGACTAAAGATAAGACTGAACAGTGTTGAAGGTTCAGAGGACACTTAAAAGTAGACATTGATAGTCGTGCCCATTGGTGCAGTTATTTTCTTTTCTCTTAGAATAGCTTGGCCATATAGGACTGGAAGATGATTATCATTTGCGTATTAATTCATGAATATTAATTTTTCAAGATGAGGAGGATGGGGAGTTAATGGTGTAGAGGTCATGAGAGAGTTGAAAGACACGCTTTCCACGTGTACTTCTCAGAGGAGGTGAGGGCTCAGCAGATAAAGGACTATGTTCATTCCAGGGAGAAATGCTTACCTGAGTGCAGACGTGGAGGGTTAGCAAGACTGGAGCCAGGGACGGAGGGGAGGGAGTCACTCACAGCGTGTGGTTTGGTATGATTAGAGAGTGGGATTCAGACATCGCAGTCTTCATGAGGTTTGACAACAGCACCATTAAAAGTAGGTTGGATTTTTTTCATAATATGAAAAGAAAAAAATAGAGAGAATTAAGCAGAGGAGTGCCATGAAATGCTTTTTCATTCATAAAGCCACTTTGGAAGCAGTGTGGAGGGGACTTTTCAGAGGATCTGTAGATTGCTTTATGTGATCCAAAAAGGATCCAGTTAATTTAATAAGCCTAATCTACCAAAGGCCAATTTAGTAAGGAAGCAGTTTGCCAATGTCCAGTTTGCCAAATTTACCAAAATTATTAGTGTACCCCAAACTCAATTTTTTCTATTTCTAAAGTTTGTATCAGTTCATATTTGGAAGTCTATTAGAGGCCTGTGCATCATAGACCTCTGAGTCTCTGGAGCCCTCTTGCTCCCTTATGGGCCCCATTCTCTTGCTCTTTGGGACTCCATTCTACCTTTCTACCAACAAACAGCCCCCAGTTTCCATGAAGCTTTATAGTAAATGAATTTATGAAGACAAAATGAAAACTGATCAATTACACTTCACAGACAAATTCAGAAACCGTTTAAAATGCTTTTAATATAAATTAGAATAAAATGGTTAAAAAACATGTTTTGGTTGAATTTGTTAAATTTTGTAGATTGGTCCTTCAGAGAAATTAGCAAAAGAGCCTTTAAATGATAAAATTTATAAAATAAAATATAATTTTAAAAAGGATTTAATACCACTATAAAATATAAACTGAAAAATTTCTACCTGAAATACTGACATTTTTGTAATGTTGACCAGATAAGTAGTGAATAAACATTATTCTCAACTTATTCCTCTCCAAGGTTTTGGCAAATTATCAAATTTACTGAGTCTGATCAGTATATCACTCAGCAAACTGACGCAAGAGCTAGTTGCTGAGAATTGGCCATTCATTCATGAATTGCTCACTGAACCAAATTAGCTGACTGACCCATAAGACGCATCCTTGAGAGTGAGCAGGAACTTCTACCCACAAGCTGTTTTTATCCAGTTCTTTTTCTGGACTTGCCTTCTCAAATATAAGATCCTCCAAAGAAAACCCCAGACACCTCGGGAAGCTAAGAGAAAGAAAAAGGAAATTGGCGTTTTGTACC